CCCGGCCGAGGGTCACCCGCAGGGTTGAGTCTTTGAGAGCAGGGACCCTTTTGAGCCTTTACTCCGTTTCCTGGGAGCGTGGTTATTTCTCTCTGGTTGTGTTCTGCGCTCTGTCATTATTATTTTAACTCTGGATGAGATGATCAGGCACATTGAGTTGCTTTTCCCTTACTCTCGTTTTTTGCAAGTCTCCGGGTAGGGCGCGGAAAGAGGAGAGAGGGTTGGAAGATGGGGGTGGGAAACCATTACTGACACGGAATACCCACACCCTCACACACCAGCCCGGCCTGGCCTGCTCCCTACGGGGCTGCGTGGCCCATCCACAGCCCTCAGGCCGAGCAGGCAGGGCTGGGCCGAGTGTTGGGAGGAAAAACTTTCGCTTCTCCTGTGTCCCTTAGAAGTTGGGAATCAATCCTCGTCTCCGCCTCCTTCCCACCCTTAGCCCAGCCTGGGGAATGGCAGAGCCGGACAGGGACCCCGAGGAGGAGCCTGGCCGAGGCAGAACGGCCTAGTTGTCGGGGGGAAAAACGGAGGCGGCGACCGCATCGGGCGCCTGGGATCTGGGTGGAAAGGAGGTTTTCAGAGTTCGGGATCAGGCAGGAGCCTTTCGCCTCCGCACCAGATGCCTGCTGTGGCCTGTGGAGGCCCCTCGCTAGCGTCTGGGCACTTTCTGAATGTGCCCCGCGGCCGGCCCATGCCTTCCCGGGAAGGGGCTCCAGGACCAGCAGCGCCTTGCGGAGCCCGCTGGGCGGCCAGAGACAAGCGGCAGCTGGGCCCCTTCTGCCGAGAGGCTATTTTCTTTAAAAATAAAAAAAAAGGGGAGAGAGAGAGAGGAGGAAGAAAGGAAAACAGCGTCCACCGCTTGCCGCCTGGGCGCGGGTGGGGATGAGAGAGAACGGGTCCTTTGGGGTAGATGGGATGAGAGCAGACTAGCCGGCCCTCTCCGCCTCCTTCCCACCCTTAGCCCAGCCTGGGGAATGGCAGAGCCGGACAGGGACCCCGAGGAGGAGCCTGGCCAAGGCAGAACGGCCTAGTTGTCGGGGGGGAAAAACGGAGGCGGCGACCGCATCGGGCGCCTGGGATCTGGGTGGAAAGGAGGTTTTCAGAGTTCGGGATCAGGCAGGAGCCTTTCGCCTCCGCACCAGATGCCTGCTGTGGCCTGTGGAGGCCCCTCGCTAGCGTCTGGGCACTTTCTGAATGTGCCCCGCGGCTGGCCCATGCCTTCCCGGGAAGGGGCTCCAGGACCAGCAGCGCCTTGCGGAGCCCGCTGGGCGGCCAGAGACAAGCGGCAGCTGGGCCCCTTCTGCCGAGAGGCTATTTTCTTTAAAAATAAAAAAAAAGGGGAGAGAGAGAGAGGAGGAAGAAAGGAAAACAGCGTCCACCGCTTGCCGCCTGGGCGCGGGTGGGGATGAGAGAGAACGGGTCCTTTGGGGTAGATGGGATGAGAGCAGACTAGCCGGCCCTCTCACCTGGCCCCCTGCTCTCGGGTTCCCAAGGAGGAGGACGTCCAGCCCTTCCGCCCGCACCTGGCCTGCCCGGGGCTTCGCATCCCCCTCCATGTCACTGAACTCCTACTTCAGGCAGGAAGAGGCGTCTGGAGCTGCTAGCTGCGGGGGAAGAGATACCGCACGACCCTGATTTGGTCGGTCTCCGGAGCCACAAGCCCAGAGCCTGGGGGCCAAGGCCAGCAGAGATCGGGCCATGTGGGCAGGCCAAAGGCCACGGCCTCGGAGGACCAAACACGAGACCCCTCCTGGCTCAGTGTCTACAGGAGCTGGGGCTAGGGGGCCTGGGGGGCGTCCCTCCTGCCACGGGCAAACGGGGGAATGCTGCAGAATACGAGGGAAACGGCCCTTCTGGGTCCCCCAAGTCTGCACCGAGAGAGGCCGTTC